CGGGGGGGGGGTTTGCGGACAGCTTCAGTGTGTGAATCTGGGGGAGATGGGGGGCACACAGACATTTAGGCCATAACACCATGCAAACACAGTTATTTGAATACACTGTCTCCCCCAGCGTGTTTACCTATTGTTGTCTCTCAGAGCTGGGGTGCTACCTGGCTCACGGCAAGGATGTGGAAGAGGGTGGGAGGGAGGAAGGAATCTGCCATATCATGCTGGCCACCACACCAGGTGCTGCAGAGGTGGACCCCAGTGCAGCCCCATTAGCCTCTCCTCCCTTCCCCCAAGAGGCACTCCTGAAAGAAAGATCCTCATCTTCAGAAGAAAAATCTGGGAGACAGAGAAAGGCAGATGGCAGAGAAAAATCACAGGAGAGGCAGACAGACAGACAGACGGAGCAGTGAGGGGCCACAAAGAGACAGTCCAGAGAGCCTGCAGATCAGGTGGGGCAGGCCTGAGTGCCCGGACTCTGAAGATGCAAACTTGAGATGCACCACCAGCCAGCAGGGAGGCCTCACCAGCACCATCTCTCTGAGTCTCCAGGTCATTCATCAGTGAGATACGGTGTCCCAGTCTGCTCAGCCTGCCATTGCAAGACGCCACCAACGGGGTTCCTTAAATAACATCTCTCAAGGTTCCTGGAGGCTGAACGCCCAAGACCTAGGTGCTGGCAGATTTCAGGTCCTGGTTTGCAAAAGACAGTCTTCTGGTTTTGTCCTCACACTGCAGAGAGCAGAGAGAAGTGACTCTCTTCTGGTGTCCCTTTTCTAAGACCCTTAATCCCATCGCTGAGGGCTCTGCCCTCATGACCTCATCACCCCCCAGAGGCCCCGCCTTCTAAGACCACTGCATTCCGGGTTAGGGTTTCAACATATGAATTTTGGGTGGCACAAACATGCAGTCCACGACATCAGGGATCCACAAAGCCAGTCTCCATTTCCAGATGGCCTTCAGAGCAAGAATGGTGGCTTTTCCCTCCTTTACTGCAGACGCCTGCAGAGCGAGATGCTGTAGTTTCTCAGTCCAGACTCGGGGGCAAAGAGACAGGAAAAAGGATGAGGGAGACCTTTATAAACTGAAAGCCCTTAAGCAGACGCAGTGCTTAAGTTGTTTCCCAAAGCCGACTGCGGAGCCCGTGAGAGAGGAGTACTTTCTGCCTTGTTTCCAACTTTCTAGCCCAAACTCAGTGTCCTCAAATTCAGTCGGTCCAAGAAAACATTCCCCAAGCATGTCCTACGTGCCTGTCATGATGCCAACAGCCGGGACCAGAGAGGGAGCAAGACGCACAGCCTTCTCTCAAAATATTTACAGTGCAGGGGAAAGAGCTGATATTCCAGAAAATCAGAGGCTGCTTCTGGAGACAATGAAGCCCACTGGGGACATAACAAGAGCCCAAGTGACAAAGTCTGGCCTTTAATAATAACTGTAATAATGGGGCGCCTGGGTGGCTCAGATGGTTAAGCGTCTGCCTTCAGCTCAGGTCATGATCCCAGGGTCCTGGGATCGAGTCCCGCATCGGGCTCCCTGCTCCTTGGGAGCCTGCTTCTCGCTCTGCCTCTCTCTCTCTCTCCTGAATAAATAAATAAAATCTTAAAAAAAAAAAAAAAAAAAAAAACTGTAATAATGATCACACATGATAACCGCAGTGGTTATCATCCCCGAAAGAGTCCCAGAAGCACTTCTGTTTTCCAGGGGGTGGCGAGAACACCATGCCCTGCCTCTGCCTAAGCCCATGGTGGCACAGCTGAGAAAGCCCAATGTCTGCCGGCACGGCAGGCAGGATCAGAAACAACAAAATTAGGCACATTTCCCTCCAGACTTGCGAATCCCTCTTCTACATTTGCCCTCACACTCTGACATTAATTGAACTCTGTCTCCACTACTAAAAATAAACTCCAGGTCAAATGCAATGAGCCAAAAACCTCAGCATGAAACCACAAGAAATAGAGTAAATAGTAAAATGGGCTAATAGCAGACATGTTTGGGTGAAAATACGTGTTCTGTTTCAAGCCTAGAGTCCCGAGCGGGCCGGGAGCTCTTTCAGTGCTGTAGACAGAGAAATAAATAGCTGTGCCCAAAGACCAGGGCTGGCTCCTGTCCACAGACAGGCAGGCAGGCAGGAGCCCGTGCGTGCCCTCTCCCCCAAAGGTCAGGGCCGGAAGGCAGCCTGAGAACATTGGGCAGGAGCCGAGAGACGCTCCCAGGGGGAGATGGTACCAGGAGGGGAGTCCAAAAGAGCAAGGTGAGGGTCAGAGGGAAGAAGGCAAGCCTGTCTGCATGTCCAAGGAGGGATGGGGATGGGACAATCACCCGTCAGAAGCTAGACAGGCAAGGAGGTGGAGGAGAAGCCAGCAACAAGGGCTCCCTTTTGGCTGAGCCTTTTTTCAGGCCAGCTTTGGGCTCCTCAAGACCGGCCCAAGGGGGGACTGGTCCAGTTTGCAGCTGAGAAATGAGAAGCCTGGAGAGTGGTGAAGGACCTGCCCAGGGTCCCCGGGGGCCTAGGAGGGGGCGCTGGGCGGGGGGGGTGGGAAATGCAGGGGTACTGGTACCTCTGTTCCAGGGCCCAGGCTCACAGACGGCAGGGGTGCAGGCAGACAGGCCCCTAGTGGAATGACGGTGTCCTCAGGATGGGTAGAACCACACACACGAGCACAGCGCGGACGCCTTTCTCGGAGCCCCCAGCACAGACCAGCCCTGCCGGGATGTGTTCAGGATGGAGCGCCTCCGAATCCCAGCATCCAGCCCTGCTCCATCTGCCTACTCCCAGCAGCTGAACTCTGGGGAAACTCCTTTCCAATCACCCCTAGGCAGATCGGTCAGGCCTCTCTTCCATTCACAGAATGCAGGCGACACCACTCACGCTCCCAGCCGCGGCAACAAGAGACGGTTCTCCCAGTCTGCAGCTCGTCCGGCCCAGTGACCGGACTCCCATCTGCCCTTGCCCACACCCCCGATGGGAGCGGCGTGGTCCGACCCTAACGCCAGGGTGATCACACAAGAGGCTGGGGTACATTCACGGTACTCCTGCTTCCGAAGTCGGCTACCTGGATCAGGAGCGTGGGCTCCGGAAACAAAATGCAAGGGACTGGCTGAGCGCTTGAGAGCCGAACAGGCGGCCTGGCAGTGGCACTGAGTGCAGACGAGTTCTGACCCCGAACAGCGGGAAATCAGCTCCTGACACAATGCACCGGGGTGCTGAGCACAGGGTGCACAGGCTCCCCAACTGCAAATCAGCTCGGCTCCTACTAGGATTTCGCTTTCGTGCCACTTCCAAGAGCCTCAAGCTCAGCACCCCCTCTAGAAAGCCCCCGCGGCCCTCCCCTGCCTGTGGGGAGTCTGGAGAACCCCATGTGTGTGTCAGTCTCCCCCGCCTTGAGTGAAGGGCGGGGCCTCAGGCTCACCACCACATCGGTCACGGGACCGCGGGGGACACAGGAGACGAGAGATACAAATGCACTCGGACACATTTAAGGCACAAGAGAAAAGACACAGGGGCACGTGAACACCATCCTCTGCTACCCTCTCACTCCGACTTCCACACCTGGCTTCTCACCGGTCCCCACTTGAACCACGTTTCCTTGTTCCATTGTGATTTATTCTTTTCAACACCTTGTTTTTTTTAAGGAAAAAAATTGCAACTGACCTCATTCTTTGCTCTAAGTCTTTAAGAACTTTCTTCTTATTGGTTCTCTCTCTCTTATTTTCTGCTTCCTCCTTTTTAATTATTCATTCCTCTGCTTTTGCAATATCCACAGTAGTGTCAGGTGGGTGTCGGGTGGGGTGTCAGGATGTAGAAGACAGTCCTTTGCTCTAAACAAGGTCACGAGCAACTGGGGGCATGGGCGTGGGTGGGGGAGAGACATAACAGGGTCTGAGGGAGGCATGCCCTAGATCGCTGGCTGCAGCCTGCGGGAGGAAGTCAGACACTCTGCTCAGGGAAGGGAGGTCTGTGCACCATGCACAAGCCATTTCCCAGACAGACCTGGCGGGAGCTGAAACACAGAGAGAAGAGCAGACCAAGGACTTGGAAAGAGCCTGCTGTGTGGAAGGAACTGTACATGGTGTAGTTAATGAGTTAAAAAAAAAAAAAAAAAAAACCCTGGGGTCCCTGGGCGGTGCAGTTGGTTAAGTGCTGGGACTGTTGGTTTCAGCTCAGGTCGTGATGTCAGGGTCGTGAGATCGAGCCCCACATTGGGCTCTGCGCTCAGCATAGAATCTGCTTGAGATTCTCTCTCTCTCTCTGCCTCCACCCCTCCCGCTTGTGCGCGCTCTCTCTGTCTCAAATAAATAAATCTTAAAAAAGAAAATACCCTCCTGTTTTGGAGCATTTCCTCCTCCATGCCAGGTGGCATGATAAACCATCTCCACTATCTTATTCAATACTCATGACATCCTCTCGAGGCAAGAGCTAATATGATCCCTATCTTACAGATCAGGAAACCAAGGCTTGGAACAGCTGAGTGATCCGCCCAGGGTGAGGCAGGTGGCAAAGCCAGGAAAACCCAGGTCTGCCCAAAACCCCGGGTTTTCACCTCTTCCTTTACCCCAGACAGCTTCTGACTTATGGGACTGAGCGTGCAATGCAAGGGGGCGGGAGAGAGACAGGGATTCCATTCTACGTGCCCCAAGAGGTGCTTTGCTCCCAATGCACCTTCTCATCCTCCCCCAGTGCAGTCCCCACATGACTCAACAGGACAGCTGGAGTATCCGCCACCCTCTGCCAGGAGGAAAGGCATGGGGTATCCACCTAGGAGGTGGTGGGCTCCATCCTCGGCTAGGCACAGAGGGAGACCTCCCAAAGCACAACAGTGAGGCCACCGAATGCTGAGAACCAGGTCCCAGGTGTCAGGGTGAGGTTACGGGAAGCCAGCTTCTCAAACCAGCACAGGAAGCCAGGCCAAGAAGTCAAGAACCACAACCCAACTTGCGGTGCAGGAGATCACCGATTCCAAAGGCAATTTTTTGTTTCATAAAGCTCAAGAGGAGAAATCTCTTACCTTTATTCTCCAAATCCCCAAATGGCCCAGCTTTAGTTCAGGGAAGGACAGTCCCTCTACAGTACCAAATGGATATGTCTATTTTTCAGACTTACAGCACCAAAATCCGAGGTATGACAGGATTCTGTAAATAGGCAAGAAAAGGACAGAGAAGTATTAGTATCAATGCTAACACTAAACAGATTTGTTGAGGGGTTCCATTCATTTGAAAAACACAAAGTGCACACTTACTAAACGCTAAAGGAGAAGCTTCAGAAGAGCAGACATTTACTGAGCAACTATTATGTGCCAAGCCCTATGTTAAGCCATTTATTCCTACGAGACCAGTTTTGATGGCTCTGTATTTCAGAAGTCACATGAGAGGCCAGGCCAGAAAGAGAGCCAGGTCTTCCTGCCTCCCAAACCCCTGCCCATCGATCTCGCTTTCCATCCGCACTAAAGCTTTTTCGTACACCTGAGTCCAGGAACTCTAGGTAGAGGGAAAGGAGAGACATACCTAGTAACGTCACTCTGAGAATGTCCTGTCCCTGGATGTCCAACCCATTCCACAGACGGTGGGGATACTATGAGCCATGGAAGCGGTGTCACATTCACTAGGTTGTAAGATTTATCTGAGCTGCACACTGTCATCTGGCAACATGTGACCAGCAGACATCATGTATTACTCAGGGAACAAAAAATGTCGCTTCACCAGGGTTCTTATCCTAACTGATCATCAGGATGGCTACATGAGGTGGCCAAAACGGGGGGTGAGGGGGGTGGGGGGAGAATGGGGCAAGGAGGCCGCTGCTTGTCTTACCAGCTCTGGAAGGACCTCCTAGGACACCTAGAGCAGAGCCGAATGCTCAGCCGGGTGGGTGCAGACACCAACTTTTCTCCTTCAAGGGGCGGCATAGCACGACCAAAAACCACACTATTGGGGTGCCTTGGTGGCTCAGTTGATTAAGTGTCTGTCTTCGGCTCAGGTCATGATCCCAGGGGTTCCCTGCTCAATGGGGAGTCTGCTTCTCCCTCTGCCTCTGCCCCTCCCACCCCCCGGCTCGTGCACGCATGCATGTGCTCTCTCTCAAATGGATAAATAAAATCTTAAAAAAAAAAAAAAAAAAGCCAAACAGTTACATTTACAATGGGGTGATTCTCCCCTGTTCCAGACCTCCTCCTGCACCCCCTCAAAATCCCCAGCATCTTAGCCACCAGATCATCAAGAAGATGGAGCTCAGTGAACATGGCCTCAGCATCAGTAAGACTGACAAGTTCTGAAGGGAAATTTGCCCTAAAGTGTAGGAACAGCTAGAGAAAGACCCTCACCCTGCCGAGAGCAGAAGCCAGGTGCCCTGCCTACCCCACCGATTCCTTCACCCTCCTCCAGGAAAAATGTGGTCACAGTTAGCTTCTCTGAGGCCCCCTGGTTGTCACATGCCTCGCTTGGACGTGTCGGTATCATGGACAGACCCACAGCAGCTCTGCAAGCTGGGGAGGGCCTGTCTCCTCCCACCGGGCGCCAGTCTCACCCCCGTGCCCTGTCCCAGTTCCCAGCAGAAGAGGCTCACTCAGGGAAGTCCCCTGACTAGCAACGCGCTCAGAAGGCTGCCCTCCTCGGCACATCTATGCTCCAGCCGTGGGCAGCCTCCCACACTTCTCAGGCATTTTTAAAGGCACTTTTTTGCTTTACTGTCAAAAATGAATTCGGCTTTCTGCCTGGAAAAGGCAGCAGTCCAGCTCCCTGGTTGTTAGACCACCTGGATCGGTATTCCAGGTCTACACGAGTCTTTTTAGGAGACTGAGCAAGTGACCCTCCAAACCTTAGTATCTCATCTTAGAGGTTTGTTCTTAGTGTTAAGTGAGAATCTTCGCAGAGCTCAGCACTGGGCCTGGCATGTTGTGGACACTGAGAAATGTCAGCTCTCAGTAATACCACTTAAGCAAACACTCGGGCCTTAACTTCTTAGTCTCTTCCCAGTAAGGGTTTGGAAAAGGCCTCCCCTCTTCATATCAGCACAGTGACTTATTGAGCGTAGGGGCTTGGCACTCTGGGCCAAGGGAACAAGCGACGCCTGTCAGAATCCGTGCAGTGGACAACACTCACCAATCTCCCAGCTGTGCCACCAGCATTAGACAAGACAGAGCACGCGAGAGGTGCTCTGCAAACACTAAGGTACTAGAGCATCATACTGAATCAAATTAACAGCGCCACTGACAAGCACCGTCCGCACAGGACACTTTGCTGAGGAATATCCTCACGGGACCATACTGAGCACCCACAGTGACCCCAGGAGGTCAGGTCGCTGCATAAACCTCATCCCCATTTTACAGACATGGACACAAAAGCTCAGAGGGACTAAGGAGGAATATGCAGCTGAATCGCTGGTCTGCAAGCTCACTCCCTCTTCCTTGAAAGGGGGGCAGCAATAACACACAACATCAGCTCCTGCAGAAAAAGAACCTCTTCCCAAGGCAGCCAAATTGATTAATGTTTTTAATTAATGTTTTAAACCACACACACATGGAGCAATGTTCCATGGAAAATGAGGAGCTAAAACTTCCAAGTTTCTCCCAGGAGTCAGTCCAGCCAGGTGCTCACTGCCAGAGCAATGGGGGGAGGAGTCCTGGGCCGGCCAGGGAGGTCAGAGTGGGAAGGTCACAGCCCTGCCTCAATGCACCAAGCCAGGCAGGCAGTCCGGTCACTTCCCACCCACAGAGACGAGCCAGGGATAAAGGAGACTGGCCTAGCACAGGGTGACAGGACTCTCTTGGCCACTTCTCAGGAAGCCATCAACCCCAGCAGAGGAGGGAGCTGGGATGCAGAGGGAGGCCCAATACGTAGCAGGTGCCTGGAGCCTGGGCCTGAAGGGGGAGGTAGCTGCTACTCCCAGAACCTCCTGCCTGACACTCGGTCCCAAGGACGGGACATTCACCTGCTCTGCAGTGGACGGAGATATCCCACATCTGAACCAGGGGGCCGCAGGCTTTCTCAGGATGCTGACAGTGCTTCCCTGATGTGGCTTGGGATCACCGCTGGGGCCCAATGCTGTGTTCAGATGAATAACGGACCGGAGTGCCTGGGACAGGCAGACCAGGACCCCAAGGTCCCCCGGAGGTGAGAGGCAGACTAGGGCCCAGAGACGGGCCCTCTGCTGGTGTGCTCAGGGAACCCCATTGCTCTGCTAGTGGAATTCCAAGTGTGTCCTGTCCTCAAGTGTCCTCTACACAACCCAAAGGCAGGGCTGTCACCTTCCTGTCTCCAAAGGGAAGGTGAGGGGCATGGAGTGTGACATACAGCACTGAATAATTAATCAGCAGCTCCGCTGGGAGCAGCCACTGCATCATCGGGGTAGTTGGCCTTGAATGCCACCTGGATGCGGCCTGGGCAGTGGGGCCAACTGGGCACACCGACAGCAGCCAGGACCAGCCACCTTCGGCGGGCGGGGTGGGGGGGGGCGGCCCTGGGCGACTTGGCAGGAGAGAGAACTGGCCATGAAATGAGTGACTACACGGGGATTCCTGACCTGGAAATCATCAAAACGCCATCCATTTGCTGCAAATAGACTGTGGAGGTGGACTATGGTACCTGTAGGAGCAGAGGACAGGACAGCTTTCCCCAGGAAGGCCCCGAGAGCAGGCCCCAGCCCTGGGATGTGTTTGCTCCCTCTGGAGAAGGCCTGGGGGAAGGACATAAACATAGGTACATCTGTGCCTCTCCTGCAAGGTCAGCAAAGCGGGTGAAAGCCTCCAGCCTGGCTCAGCACTGGGCCCCAGCAGTGATTCCAAGTGACATCACAGAAGTATGGTGAGTACCGCCCCCGATGCTATGAGATCCAGCAAGGCTGATGGCAGAGGCAACAAGTGGGCTCAGGACACAAGCTGCTGGGGTCAGAGCTAGTCCCTACCAGCTAACTGCTGTGCACCCTGGGCAGTCTACTTACCCTCTCTGATCATCATGTGTAAATCAGGGCTCCTAAGAGCAGTTACCTTTCTGGACTGGGACAAGGATGCATGCAGGGTGTACAGAGCGCTAAGTACGATGTCCAGCTCAGAGTAAGTGCTTGATTCACACTGGGTTACTCTCAGGGCCTACATGCTGTCACTGTTTGTGTTGCTGGGCAGGCAGATCAGTCTTGGGTTTGAATCCCAGCTCTGCAAGCACCTAGGAACAGAACCACGGACCATTCCATTCACTTGACCTCCCTATACCTTAGTTTGCTCAATTACAAGCCATGCGGGACCACCAAGGATTACAGAGCATGAAGGAAAGCAAGCAGTACGGTGTGAACCTTCAGGAATGAGGGCCCCAACCCAAACTGAAGGACATTCTACAAAGCAAAACTGGCCTGGACTCTTCAAACACATCAAGGTCAAGAACAGCCAAGGAAACGTTCCAAGATAAAGGGAGGCGAAGGAGACATGGCCGCTAAAGGCAGGGGTGATGTAGAATCAGGGGGAAATAGTCCCACAGGACATTATTGGGACAACCGATGAAATTGTGTGTGGCCTATGGAGGAGATAATACAATTGTAGCCGAGCTGAATTTCCCGAGTTGGATCATTACGTGGTGTTTATATAAGAGAACGTCCTTGCTGTTAGGAAACACACGCCGAATACTTCGGAATAAAAGGGCATGTCTACAACTTACTCGCAGATAGTTCAAAAAAACTGTGTGTGTGTGTGTGTGTGTGTGTGTGTGTGTGTGTAGGGGTCGGGGTGAGAGTGAACCAAGAGCTGGTGATTCTGAGTGTGCGCTAGATCTTTGCATCGCCCTTGTAATGTTTTCTGGCAGTCTGAAGTCATGCCCAGATGAAAGATGACAAGGGCCCAGGCACGGGAAAGGAGAAACACACCTGAGGGCTGGCCTCAGCCGTCCATGGGGCTGGAGCACAGGCTTTTCCCACAAAAGCCGGGTCACCTGCTGTACAAATGTTATGACGGATTGTGCAGAAAACCACAAAGGATAAAACTGAAATTCAATTTGCACCACCACCCCCTCCTGCCAAGAAAAAGAAAGACAAATGGACGCCTCCTCTATGACTATGCCCCAGGGCCCAGCTTGGCGGCCGCATCCGAGCCATCAGCAAGCAGTTGGGGGGAGGAGGGGCAGTCGAGGCAGCTGTTCACTAGGTGCCAGGCGGT